TTTCCAGCACCATGGAGTTAACTATCTTCTCTATTTTACAAGGTGATCCTTTTTAGCATTCAAGAAAAAAATGAGAACTCACTACGTATAATGCAAAACATCAACCTAAGTTAATAAATTTTTTACTAGATGATACAAGAGAAGAATGTCTTATATTGAATTCACAAAAAGCGAACGATGAAAGCAATCTAACTGATTAGAACTACTACCTTACTTTTCCTCACTCGTTCGATACCTTCGGCATAAGTGTCAACAAAAACCGACTCAGTCCTAAGCAATTTCGCTTAGATTTGAAATATTATAAAATTTTCTATTACTAACACTTGATCTTTCATGTATTTGTTGTTCTCATCTTGCATGAAATCCCACATTTTCTTATATAACGGTACTGTTGAATCCTAAATTGATAGGATTACGGTAGTGAATCAATTTATTGAAAACACTGACCTCAAAAAACGCAGCTGTTGAACCTCCTTTGACCACACCGTAGCGGATTTTGTTTTGATTGGCTAGATCTTCAACTGATTCTATTGGTGGTGTCATTTTTTCTGTAAGCTTACAAAAAATGTGTGTTATATAAATTTTGTTTTCATTTTTTTTCATGAGGGTTGTTTGAAGAATTCGTGAGTATGGAGCATAGTGAAGTACTTCTTCCAGTACCGTATCATGTTAATTCCACTTCCATAAGATAAGATAAGATAATTTTTGGCGTTGATCAATCCCTTGTGGTGGGATGCGCCCCCGCATTCATGTTCAACGTGATACCGTAGAGGGGGTTGAATGCGTGCCTGGTCTATACATGACTTGAGTTGACCACTCTTTACCAAGTCAGTGCCAGTTATCTTACCCAGTCTCCTCTGGTACCAATTTACTGACCCCGGAGGGATGGCGGGCTTGGTAGGCCTGGGGGGCGGCCGCGAACTAATTCGGGCCGGCGTGTCACTGCGGCACCTCCACCACTGAGCCACTGCGCCTTCCATAAGCACCTCAAATATGCTTTTATTTATATTTGTTCTATACGACGACTACAATATCTTCCATATTAAACCGATGAGAAAAGCACGAACAAAGAATGAAATTGTTCATGGCAGTAGAAAAACTACACGAACCAATCGATTCAGTATGTCCTACTCAATCACATTTCATCTATTGAATTGCTTTGACGATATATAAATAAAGGTATATATAGTTCTGCCGAGAGCAAATACTTATAAAGCTGTTGGTTTTTAGTCACTCATATCCGTGATCACGGGATGGGCCTCACCAGTGCCACCGTTTACTTAGAAGGTTATCACTACGGATAACAGTTGCCCAAAAAAGAAACCACTGGATGATGGATGAGGCACGCACTAGTCACGAAAGCGGGCCATTTAAGTAACCAAATCATTCATAATCCAAATATAAAACAGGACATGATAAATGTTGGTGTTAATCAGTGCCTGTTTTGGGATGCGTCTATTCGTGTTCAAGGTGACACAGTGAAGGTGACTGAGTGCGAGCCTGGTCTACACAGTGCCTTGAGTTAAGTGTCAACCAAGTACTGTACTGCTAATCTTACTCATATTTCTTTGGTACCAATTAACTGACTCTGAAAGGATGGCGGGGTTGGTAGGCCTGGAGTGGCCGAGTACTGTATTTGGGTTAGCGTATCACTGTGACACCTCCACTAGTGCGCCATGTGTCCTCATTTCAAACATACTAAAAATTATCAGTAAGAAAAAGCTACTGGGGCCGGCGCAATGAATTGAAGAGAAACTATCTAAGCTTACGAAAGCAATTAAGCCAAATCTCATATTATTCAATAGTTTTTAAAGTATACTTAGGAAAAAGTGGCACTGCAAAAAGCATTGCTGAAAAAATCTGCATTATCTAAAGAAGGACGAGGAGGGCAATCGATTTATTTTTAAAGTTCAGTTTAAGGTGGAATTCCGACCATACCTAATGTCAGAAATGCGGCTAGATTAGCTGTGTACGATGAGACAATAATTAATGTGAAAAACCACCAAGCTGATGAGGCGATTCTGCCCGACAAAGCTCTGAAAGTATAAATGGTCAGGAAAGTAATTTACAGATTTTTACTAAAAGCAGAAAATACCGGATTGATTGTGTAGCATTCTATAAGCTCTCCGATATTTTTGGCTTATTTAAACGTACTTTGGAAGAATATCGGTGCCTTGTTGCATAAATGCAGCTAGAGTAAACCATAATGAGTTATACATTGAGAATTCGTTTGACACTGAGAATTCACCGCGATTGAATTGTACTCTTTGTTCGTAAGGCGAAAATGAGGAAACGAGGAATATTGTTAATGAAACCTTAAGTAGTTATGATCAGAAATGAATTATTTATATGGGAATGTTTCTGATCAGTCATGATAAGGACTAAAATATACTGAAATCAACACTTTGGAGATGATCACCTACCCCGATATATGAACAAAGTGTAAGGATCCATATACGCATACCAAGTGGTTCCATGAATGAGAAAATGTTAAACTCCTGCTTTTCAGGCTTCTTTATCATAATCGATATCCCTTAATAATCCACGCAATTTTAAATGAATAGCCAAAATTGCATATGAAGAAAATTGTAACGACAAAATGGAATAAAAATTCAAGTAGAAATCCAAACCGGTAGTCATGAACGGTTTTGAAAAATCCACTGCCCTCTCCCTTTCTTGAGTAATTGTAAGTGGAGCGACGGCTATATCAGCAGTATGTAACATAATTGTTATATAGAAGTTATAAGAAAAAATTGACTACTAATTACTTTGGGAAAAGCTTATAATATTAATAAATCCGGTCATTCTAGTGAAATGATGACTGATTTAGTGTTTAGAAACTTAATATTCGGAGAACTTATCAAAACCCGAGGTTTTAAACTGATACTCAATATTGGAGTCTTCGTCAACTAGCAAAGAGTATAAGCCTTTCCTTAAAAGCTATTAAAAATAAGCTTTGGTGTTGATTAATCCCTGTTGAATGGGATGCCCACGCACTCATGTTCAAGGTGATATCGTGGAAGTGATTGTAGACGAGCCTGATCTATAAGTCACTCGAGTAAAAATACGCTCACCAAAGCAGCTCTGTTTATCTTAGCCAGATTTTCCTGGTAGAGATTTATCAACCCTAAAGAGATCGAAAGCTCAATTAGCTCTAAGAGAGACCGTGAACCCAATTCGAGCCTACCTATCACGATGCCCTCTTCGCCACTGCACCACACGTCTGCTTTTCTTACAATTTATGATGGAAAAATTGCTAAAGAATAAAACAACTTTCGTGTAATAAATAACTCATAGTTCAAATAATCATGGCTGAAACCCAAGAATGATGTTGATTGGAAAATTTCGAGGGAATCTATGTTTGAAATTTTTTGAGCATCTCATTAGTTGTCTTTACTGCCAGGATAAGAGGATTAAGTTGAGCATAAGAAGCCTTACATACAAAGTATGGTATGGATTCAACGTCATAAAATCATTGAAGAGATTGAGGCACATTTTGCCTCCAAAATGTCTTACATTGGTCAACCGTAAGCAGCGGTTTTTTTCCGTCTTGTAAATAATCTTAATGGTGCTCTAGTAGTTTTGAATTACTAAGAAGGCTATAATCGCGCTAGAATTTAAGCTGTCAATTCGTACATCCTCAACACCTCTAGCCATAGTGCTACAAATGCCCACCCTATCGTTATGTTACTGAGTGAAATTGTCGCTAGCTTGAATATTAATTAGAAGAAGAGATAATACGTGAAATCTCGTCTTCCAGCCTAGAAGTCTTCTACGGTAACAACATCAATCAAAAACGTTGCGATACTAACCTCGTTCAGGAGATAACCAAGCATACCGTCCCAACTGCCGTCGGCTTGACGTGCTCCGTATCTACAAGGCTTGCTTTTTAGTGTTCTTTGAAGGCATTATCAAAAAAAAACATGTTTATCGATAAATTATGCAAGGGTATCTCACTCATTTCAATCATCTCGGTATGTACTTTTTCTTTTTTCTAATATAATCTTTTTACGCTGGCAGTCTTTTGCCGATGGCTTGGTTAAGAAGCCTACGACTGGTAATCAATAGGCTGATTGTACGATAGCTGTCAATATCGCAAATGTTTCCTATTTTGTGTAGCATTGTGACTTTCCTAGTTTCTCATTGACTTGAAACTTTCTTTCCCGACGGATAGCAGTAGGAGCCGAGCAGCTGCATTTCTGAAGCTTAACGGTAGATTTTTCTTGATGTTCTTCTTTAAATCTGTTATGGTTTTATGTTGTGATTTGAAACAAAATTTTCTGGAATACTACCTCCTTTCTCTATGCAGAGATGGACCAAAGTTTATGTCAAAGAGGTCTTAGTAGAACTCTTGATTTATTTTTTACATTGCTTTTCTAAAAAAAGCACATACCTCGTGGTAGCTGTGAACGCATGAGTCTTGTAAATAATGAACCTTTAGCAAACCATGTATTTTCCAGCTTTAACAAATTAAGTGCAATGGTCGTGCTTCTAACCTTAAAGATCATCTTCTGATCAGTGGAATTGCTCAGCTGGTGAGTAGCTGTTCCGTTGGCTGCTGGTCACATCAGAGCAGAGAAGTCGATTTCTTGAGACACAACAATACTAAGTCATTTTTCCTGTCAGCCATAGATTGTATTGTTGACATTCTCGACTGTTCATCTTTTCGTTGTTCTCCAATTTCTTTTTCGTAAAACATAATGTAGAGTAACTGGCGCCTCTTTATCTATATTTTCAGGTAATTAGCTCGAGTTACGCATTCCCTCTTATATTCCCAAAGCTACTTAGACATTCTTTAACAACATGTTACAGATTTTTGGCAATATTCCAATTTTGAAATAGAAAAAACTGAATCAAAGAATAGTATGGAGGAAATCGTGAGCATTAAAACTGTAGCGCTCGAATGGCACGATTCCAAGTCTGTAAAAATGACTTCTTCAAATACCACACGCATACCAAACCACTTTAAACCTGATCTTTCACCACTTTATTTGTATGGACCGCTCAGATGGGCAAGTCACTGGCCCAGCATCGCTGCCGAACCGCGGTCATCAGCGCAGAAGCGCGTTCTTCCCGCTCGCAACTCGCCCTTCAACCGTTCATCGCGGCTTCTAGGTGTTGCTGTATAGTTGGTACTGTGAAATACACACTGCAGAAATGATTCTGTATAGTATGATTTCAACGAGTCACACCCTCGCCGCAACATTTGTGTATCGTGCTGCGTACATGAGCCGAGTTCGTTTATCTCCTCAACACAGAATGTCTTTCCTCAAAAATGTATCTCTATGAAAGTGAAAGCGATTTCCGCATCTCAAATCACCTTCGTCGATGCGCTTCAACTAATTACTCATGATATGATCGGTAGTAATCTTTAATCCATATCCTAAGTGATTGCATGACGGCTGAAATGATCAACAATGCGTTCGGGCAAGGCACTACTATGGATGAGTTTGAGATGCGTTTCTAGAGGACAACATTTCTACTATGATTCTAAGTTGAATACACGGCTGATAGTAAACCAACTTGTTTCCCTCAGAAACGAATATCTCGTATTCGAAGCCGGAGATGTTCTTTGCAAGCAGCTTCAGTAAATCGATACAGTATCCCTCAAAGCGGTCATTACCTTTCGGTTCAGGTTCGCCAGGATTACTACGTCGTAGCATTGCAAATGGTTTCACCTTGAATAATAGCTTTATTAATGTTACATTATACATTTTACAAATTAAGGTAGATATAAGAGTGATTTGATCGTTACATAGAGGGTAGCTTCGTAAAAATAATAATCAATACTCAGTAATGAAATGCATTATTGATTCATCTAGTCATTGCAAATCATCCTGTTTCACTGGGACTATCGAAGAACTTTGTGATTGGAAATTTACCTCGTACCTCAATTTCTTCACAATAACTTCGATTCTATATTTTTACTGCTTTAAATGTGCTAATTGCCTTATACCTCCATCACATCAACTCACCAATACTGTGACCACGTTTAATTTAAGCTTCCAGGGTTTATTGATCAGTATTCCTTTTTGATTGACAGTTTTATTTCGTTTATCTTCATGGAAGACACGTTGTTCATCAAGTAGAAAACCTTTACCTTGAGCCCATTGAAATCTCTATAAAGTACTCTTACATGCTAATAATTTCTGGTAAAAATTTTTACAAAGACTTTTTACTTAATAAAAAAAAGTTAGAGTTTCTAACTTCTTTAATGCTGGTCAGAGTATTAACACCAGGTCTTATTTCTATCACAGTAACTGAGAAATTCGTTCGAAATCCTGTATGAGGATCGAACTGGATTCGACCCGTCAGAGTTCCATCGTCACCATCGAGAACGACCTTAAACAATATTGTTCTTAGTTAAGGGAAAATTCGTGGCTCAAAAAAAATGAAGGTTACCTAATATTAGATAGATCAAAAAGACCCAACCATTCAGTTTCAGAAACTCATATAGATCACTTGATAGGTCACGTACTGCCGAAAATCATTTTTGAAGATTACTACCAGGATGTAGGAGATCATATTACTATATCACTTCTGTAGTAGCAGAATTGTCTTCCGGAATGTCGTCGCATTCTTGAATGACAACTGACAAAATGAACAGATGGTCATTCATGGGTCAGAAAGATGTGCTTCCTAGCAACTTTTTTTCGTCAAACTGGGTGGTGATCTTCGGCTACGCTTCCATGTCGGAGTGGAAGTCTTAGGAGGACTTCCCAGCCACGTTGTGGTAGCAAACCATTTCCCGTAGGCACTATACATCAACTTTTTTGTCTTGATCGATACAGAGATCTTCGGGTTGATGAATACCACTTTTATACAATAATTTTTATTGTTACAACGTTATGCTTTTATCTAACAAATGTCATAATAACCTACGGAATCGCACTGATCTGCGTCCCATATGATGCTGCTTTTGAAAAAGCTTCAGCCATTGAAAATTGCATATGCTGAGGAGATTTTATAGTCCGCTTACATCTTATCTACAGAGAACTTTATAATGATAATCCAAAGAGTAGTCAACATAAAATCTTTACTGTATTGATTGTAATTTATATTTATATAAAAAGCAAGAGAAAAATTATTCCAGAGTAGTTTGCTCTGTCACTTTCAAAACCTCGACAAGAATGGTCTATCACTCGATTTCTTCCTGAACGGTAACATACAAAACTATCTGAAAATCTTTGATTAATGATCACATCTATCTTAACACTTCAGTGATAGTTGAGGCATAATTTTGAGGTTTTCTGACGTTGAAACAAGCTATGACACAATGACGGAAAGCAAGCTTGACTGGAAAATGTTCCTCTCAAGTCGTCTTATAGATCACATCCATTCAAATATCTCCCAATATGACATCAAGACGATTCGATATTAAATGATTCGAACTGTAGCTGTAGTTGAGGTTATAAAAATCTTTAATTTTTTTTTCAGCAATGATAGAAAGAACCAAAAGCTTTCTGAATCGCTTCTGATAAAAAATAATATTAATAATATAATATTTATATTCAATTTTATTCATTCATTAGATACTTGTTGAATAAGTATTATGTACCGTACTTGTGGAAGAAAGCAAACGAGGTAGTTTGACAGTGCTGAAGTTACGACATTAACCTAGTTTAGAAATTTTCATCATAATAATATTATTTATGTCTTATTTATTTGTTGTCTACTAGTTATCGATTTTTATAAATTTCCAACAGATCTGACGTGATGTCAAACCGAAATGAGTTCGTTACAACAAGAGATCATCAAGATCAACTCAAAACAGCTGAATCAAGTTCTATCCATATGACTATCAAATTTTTCAAAGTATTACAAAAGTATAAAATTTGGTAACTTGTATCAATTTGATGGAGTGACGACGAAAATATACACGTAAACGTTGGCTTATCAGTACGTCGTCAGACTTTTTAGAATTCAGAACTCCGATACCTCAGTCTACTTTCTATAATATAATATTACAGTATAAATTTTCTTACATAGAACGGTTCATTCAATTGCACTTCGTAGTGATGAAGCACATGATTTTGAAGCGTACTGCTTGAAAAAGCCCAGCTGTTTGACACACCACAATGCATCTGGTTTTACTCCTCACCTATTTTACTGATGAACTCATCACTCAAATGACATGAGTTGATGACCGTGATTCATTACAGAATCTGATTAGTGTTTGATCACCCATACAATTATTGATCGAACGCTGGAGTGCGAGTAATTAAAGAGTTATAAGGCATCGATCTGCGAAGCTTTTTCCTTTTACTTTTTCGTTATTACTAAGCAATTAAGCACTATCACATTCAATCTATTCTGTGAAAACCGACCAACATCAGTTATAATCCTCATATGAAAAATTTGGTATGAATTTGATCCTCAATTTCCAGAAGAATAGACTTATAGAATTGTTCTGATTCAGCAATTACCACAACGCTTCGTATTGTAGTATAGAAGAAAAAAAGTGTGCAAAACTTAGTGAAAAAGAAAAGTGAAACCCTCCACATACCTCTTTAATCGACTCGGCGATTTTGTCTCCGAATTCAAATGGTTCAAAGGTTCGATCCGGATGATCTCTATCTTCGTATGGGCGGCAGTATAATCCAGGTGATCCACGGTTGAATAGTTGATGACGTGAGAAACTCCTGACAATAACACAGAAATAAATAACTGCTTATTCTTATAAAGTATTTCTACATACTTTATTGTAGCGTATAAAGTGTTATGGTTGTTTGGTAAAGCTAATAAGTATAATAACACAACCAATTAGGCGATATAATTAAGATTTACGACTAATATGGTTGAGCTTAACTATAAAGCACGTGATTATTATGATTCCCTATTACAATAATTTTTTTCATTGTACAACAGTTCCCCATTCAGAATGTAGTCTGGAGATGCTGTCATGAGAAAACAGTAAATGAGGTTTGCAACATGGATTTCTACGTATCGTGTCACGTCCTAGTGAGGTCTTCTATCATCTGATACCCTCTCGAAATTATCCGTATAAAGAGGAGAATTGCCGCAAAAGCGGTGTTCGTGAGAGTGTTGGTTAGAAGCCTACTTTACATTCAAATCTCTTCATAGTGACATTTGTTATAACTGCTTGTGCCCTGAGGAATTAAGCACACGATTTATTATATTAATTACAATCACAACTAGTTAGGCACTAATTAATTAAATATTAGCTTAGTTTCCTTAGGGCATGAAGTGCTATTCGGGAACACAATTAGTTCTACGTTCAGACTTATTCAAATAGGTCGTTGAAGAGGAGTATGATGTGAAGCGACTCTCAAGAATTCATGAAAACGACTGGTCCAATATAGGCAGAGCACAGAAGCTTGTTCTGCTCGAGTTTCTTGTAGATCAAAAGAAAGATGTAATACAGATGAGACTCAATAATAACTCAGTGGTAACAAGTTTCCATTGAATAAATCAATCAACCATAATTACTTCTAAAACAGAAATACGAGTCATAACAATATCGAGTTAGCATTCTTAGACTTTCCTGAAATGTTCTGACTTCATTCGTTAGTCAATATATAGGGTACTGCTACTAATTATTTATTAATTATTAACTATTAATCTACTTTGAAAAGTACTAAACTAATTACTGTCAGTATCAGATTCCATCGTCCATAGAGATTGTACTATTTGATAAAATCGATTCGCGAAAAAATGATAATTTTGAAATCTACGCATACGGATTATCCCTCAAGAAAAACTAACTTGTCAAATAGTGTAATTCCATATTTTTTCATCGTTAAATCGAGAGCTGATGCAGCAACCAATAGAGCATCGTGTGCAAATGCACTACTAGCCTAAAAATGTATGAGGGAAAATGATGATAAGCGATAAGGAAGTGCTGTTTACTAAACAAAATCTGTTAAGCATAACAACATACTGGTAAGTAATCGACAACAGGAAATCGTTCCTGATAAATATCTTCAAACATTTTCTTGTTCTGTCTAAAATCATTGAAGAATTCATAAAACAAAACTGAAACGAAAATTTATTGTATTTTAGAAAGATTTTCCTCACTTTCTGCTATCGAAAAACTCAAAAATGAGTTAAAATCAAAACGTACAAGCTGTTAGGATAAATTTTATTCTATTAATTTTTCTAGTTTCAACGCTATGGCTGAATTATCCTGTACGTCTTTCCTATGAACCTCATCTTCCGC